AGGCGTTGTACTTTGTTTATTTCTTGAGTCTTCCAGCAAAGACATGGCACTTGTGTTCAGTTTTTTTGTGAGATTGGTACAGATTTCTGCACACCAAAATTTGTTAATGGTCATTTTACATACAATGTATATGGTGTGCATTCATTTTAGATCCAAAATTCAACGTTCATTTAGGAAATTTACTGCATGCAAACACACCTAATCAGTTTGGAGTTGGAAGATTTGTAGAATTTTATACTTTACAGTCTTTATTAATTATCAAATAACCCTTTTTGGCAGAGCAGTTGTTAATAATTTTTTGGGTTATTTTTGAATAATAATAATACATTAATACTTTGAATCCTGCTATTATTCTACTATTATTTGTGAATAATAATCATAATAAGTGTACAAACTGGATCTCTCTATAAAACTAATACAAGGGGCCATTACTTCTTTTACCAAAAGAAGATGTATGGGTAATTCTAAATTTTTCTTGAGTAGTAATTATTAACAAATAATTAAATATTAACAAATAAATAAATATTTAAGCCATGTTTCTTAATAATTTATATTTCCAATGTAAAATCTTTTGGAGATGAAGTAGTAATGACAAGTGGTAAATATTTGTGTATTGTGAAGTCATTACCTCATCACTGTGTGATAATCTGTCAAAAATATCAAGGATTCTTTCATTTATTGAATATCCAACCACTATTTCTTTTTAGTTCAGTGTGGCTGTCTCCATTATGGTGCTGAGCCTACTTCAGTTTTATGACTGAATGTAACAGAATTAAAAAAAAACAACCAATTTTTTAGCTTTTCTTGAAACTTCACACACCAAAATTTGCTTTAATTTCATAAGATTCATGTTATTTGGCATGAACTTGCTTGGTGTTCATTATTGAGACCTTCTTTCAAATGACATGTCAAGATTTCTGGATTCACCTGTTGGTAACAACAGAGATTGTTGCCTCCAATTAAAATTTTACCTGGGCTTGGGAGAAGTATCAGAATTCCTCTTTGCTGTCATACAAAACACTTAAACTGGGTTTTGTCCCAGTACAAACAATATTTGTAAGTATTGTTTTAGGTGATGAAATTGAAGTAGGAGTCAATATATTAATTCTTAATTAAATTATTTAAAATAAAACCAGTGAGGGGATTATATTACCAGAATGTAAATAATGTAGCCCTCTACCAAAATATAGGCCTAATGTCTCTCTGAAAAGAGATGTGCTCTTAAAATACCTTCTTTTCAATGCAGTATGAAAGTCCATATTAAAATTATGTTCATGTACTAATCAGAATAAAAATGTAAATATATGCAAAAAGTCCATGTAATTCAAATATTTATATAGGTGGTAATTGTATCTCCTTGTAGATCTTTAACATGAGTGTCTTATTTTCCTTTTAAATTTTGAGATTGTTTATATGTACTATGTAGAAAAGTTCAGGCTGTCCTAAGAAAAATTTCCACTCCCTGACTTTTCTTTACTTATGCAGTGCAAGCACTGAGGATTTAAATATTTTCATTACATAAATGTTGTGAGGTTTTTAATTTTTTAGAAACTGACAGAACGAGAGGATGGATTTTGGGCGTTGGAAAAATTTTGACAGGGAATCAGAGGAGAGCTAGAAATTAGAGCAGAGGGGAAAAGACAGATTTTTTCCCTAATACAGAATCCAGATGAACCAAGATTGATTTGATTAATAGTAGTAATGATAAAATTGTGCTGCATTGAGGACTCAATCCAGTAGAAACACACAATATTAATTTCAGTGTGTAAGTTTGAGCATGCAGGCTGTGCATGAATTTCTGTTGGTGGAGTCCCATGCTTTGTACTCACACACAGAACACAGTGCACTTTAAACAGCTTTTGTTGTAAAGAAATATTTTTAAACAATATATAAAACAATTACTCAAATTATTGCACAAATAATCCCTCAAAGCTATGCACCTTCTGAAAATAAATTAGTTAGACAAAGCAATCTTTTTCCATAATTGCCCTTGCCCAAAGCTGCCTAAGCACGTGTGCAGTTCCCATTTCCAGAGCCAGCTCGCTCCGTGGATTTTCTTGACATGTTTTGAAAGTACACTTTGGTTGAACCCAAATATTGCAAGTTTGCACTTAAAAGAAAATGTCTGTCTCAAGCAGTAGCACAAAGTAAGATATAGAATGGATGCCCAGCCCAGCCTGCACAACAGGATTGCTACCATGTTGTTAGAATAATTATATTTTGGCTGAACTAACTAATTTATAAAAACTGTGGCACATCTAGCAAGACTGAAAACTTTCCAAGACTGGTTTTTTGGGTTGTTTTGGGTTTTTTTATTTCAATTTTGAGTATAATTTAAAACAATACCTCTTCTAGCTGCCAACAAACTCTTTCCCTGAATCTCACCATTCCTGGCTTCCCTCCTAACCATGTCCTGGCTCCCCTCCAGAGCTGCCAAGTTTATGCCAGAAGCAGGAGGTATATTTGTATGGGGCTGGAGGAAGATCTGGAGCTCTGTTAAATTTTCCAGCCCAGATGGGGCAACATGATTTGTGTGTTTATGTCAGTGTGCCATACATCACAACTATCTGTGTGCTGACGTCAGCTTTGATTGGGCATTAATGTGCTGAACACTGCAAACTAGAAAATACATGATAGATACAGATCTATGGCAACAATGCCACATAAGCAAATGTCTGTTTGGTGTGGCCATTCACTGTGCAAAATATTTCCCAAGATACACTGCATTAAGCCAGGGGAATATTTTGACACACTTCAAAAACAAAAACAAAATCAGCGTGGGCAAAGAGAGCACTATTTAAGAAAGGAAACCCTTTCAGAGGAAGAGCTGAAACCCAACATGTTAGGCAAATACTGAGGTGCTGTCCCGCACTTGAATCTTAATTTTGATTTCAAACCAAATAGGAGGATGCTATTCTTATGATTTGCAGGACTGTCAGTGATGGGAGTATGTTGCTGATGGTCGAGCACCTTTCTTTCCACAGTTTTTGTGACCCATTGTTATCAAAACTGGCAAGCAAAAACATCAACTGACAGCAAATGGTTTTTTTTTCAAAGGATAGGATAATTTTTTCTGTATCAGGAGATTAGCTTTCTTTCCAGGAATCATCGGTGTCTATTTATTTATATAAAAGTTTTTTGTTTCTTACTTACAGAAATAGCATCCAGCAGCCTCCTGAAGAGCTGACAAAAGATGGGATTACAGACCAGAAAACCACTGACTACTTTAGATTTACATTTATCCCATCTTTATGTGATTGCCCTCATAGAATAAAGGTTCCATTAAAATATAATCTATTGTCTCTCTCTTCCTAGAAGAGGAAATTATTTGCAAGCCAGCTTTACAATAGCAAGGTGTAGGGATTGGTGTGTGGGCAGTGTCCTTTTTACCTCACATCACTTGTGTTATTCCTCAGAAAGGAGATTCTGTAGGATGACAGCACTTTATCGTTCTCCATGGTTAGATTTGTGGGTAAAATGGAAGTTCCCTGACTCCACGGGGATGGATGCTCTTGGCCTGGGCACAAGAGGCTTTGAAAAGAGACCCCTCCCCAGGATTTGATGCCATCTGGCCCAGAAGGTGGGGAAGGGAGGGGGTGTGAAGGTGCCATGGGATCTGTGGGTTTAGGGCTGGTAACCTCAGCAGATTGGGCTGTCCCAGACAGACCACAACTTCATGCAGAGGTCAGGAAACAGAATTCTGATTATTCTTTGACAGGAGCAGGAGATTTTCACCTTTGGTGTCTGCTCTGTAAGCTTCTCTGTGGCTAGAAAATAATGGTTATTGAAATGTGGGTTCTTGGGAGCAGTTGGGAGGTTGATCACCATTTTAATAAACCCGAATGTCAGTACAATGCATGGACTATTTTAACATGTCTGGGGGTGTTTTAATGTCTCTGCTCCTAGTTGATAAATTGCTATTATGGAATAGTTTATCAGTATTTAAATTTACCTTTCAGAATAAGCAGAAGTCATATAGTTTATGAAAGAAGTGCAAAATGTACAAAATACTTTAAAATTAATGAAAAATACCAAACTATAACCTGGAGCTGCAGAGCTAATTCCTTATAATTGTAATGGGTATTTTGAGATGATTAGTCTTGATACCCCTGAAGGTTTGAAAAACCTACAAGCACCAAGAACAAGAGTATTATACCAGCTGTCCAGGTACCTTTAAGATAACAGTTTCTTATCTTCAAGAAATATTTTGATTTTTACCACTGAAATGTTTCTCTTTTTTCCTCATTAAATACTGACATCACCAAAGCATTTAAGAACATTTTTTCTGACTTACCTCTGAAGATCTCTATTGTGACCTTTGAATGTCTCTTTCTGCTATATAAAATTGAGTAAAGAAAACCACGTGGAAAACAGCTTATTTAAGGCATGTGACAGTACATTGTAGAACAAGACATAAGGCAGCACTTAAAAAATCACAAATATATTGAGAAATGGTAATGCTGATTGAAGCTTTAGAGTCATATGTTGTGCAGAGAGAAACTTTTAGAGGGAAAAATGCTGAGAAATTAGCATTGAGTTTTCCATGTTCCACTGATAGCCAAAATGAGTAATTGTGTAGGCTCTGCTTGCTCAAAATATTAGAGATGATATGCCTAAGTGTATTAAAAACCAAGGTTTTCAGAACTCAAACAAAAACTGGGCATCACACTCACAGCAGAAATCAATGAGAGATAAGCCTATCACATGGCTTGTAAATATTGCTGATGTGAGCAAATGCTTGTTGTGAAGATTTAGGGAAATGTTAATTTAGTGCTAAGTTAGCCCTTTCATGGTTTATCCTTGTCAAATATTTGTTTTCTTTAGACACATACTTGAGGTCTTTTTTTTTTTTAAGAAAAAAGCCTTCTAACATAATTTCTAAGTATTGATGACCTATTTTCCCCTCACAGTTTGTCACTGAGAAGACCAAGGCTTGCTCTGTGAACATTAATTACCTTTTTCATCACGTAGGATGTGTATTTTGTTTCCATGTCTTACAGAATAAAGCAATTATGGAACGTGTAACAAACTTGTCAGATATGGTGGTTGGTCTTGAATCATTTATTGGCTCTGAGAGAGAAACCAATCCATTGTACAAGGATTACCACGGTGAGTTCCATCTTCAGCAAGGCAAAAAGTCTGCCCTGGGTGTTTCTAGGGCACTTAGCAGCTCGCCCTCCAATTGGGTATCTGCTCTAAAGCAGCGTTTGATTTCATTTTGGAATTATACCTCTTAAATGTTTCCCCTTGCCTAAGCAGCCTTGAGTTAGGGAAATTTTCAGCAAAGTGCATTAAGGCTGCAAAGGAAACATGGCAACTCCTTGCATGTTGTCAAGCTGCATTACTGAGGCATGGCTCAATCAGATGTACATCTCACCAGGCAGGCTTTGGGGAATTCACATGCAGGGCAGGCTTGGCAATCATCTGACCAGCGAGCTGAACTTGTCATGAAATCAATACTTTCTGATCTGCCAAGTTTTAAATTGAGAACACGGGAAAACATGTATTTTAGTTAGTAAGGTGAATAAACTGCTGAATTATGTGCTGAAAAATAAGGTTCTGTTTTGTCAGCTATAGGTTACAGCACTTGCACTTTTAAGGAAATGTAAAATATGAAACTGATTTCGGTAAAAAGTCATGTAGCCTTTCAAGTGCTTTATCTTCAAAATGGGTAATGGTGCTTAATCTTGCATTTTGTTTCCCAAAGATTTTTGTCGGCTGTTGCAGCAGAACTATTTAAATTTTTAAAATATTATTAGAAGTTGTGCACAGCAGCGAATAACAGTTTTAGCTAATCCAGAGCACTGCTCAGACTGTGCATAAATTACAGCTCTTATTATTGTGATATTACTATAGTTCCATGGAAACCTTCAGCTGAAAGTAAACTGCTTATCTGAAATCTGCTGTAAACACATGTCAGTGGCAGTGTTTTCCCTAGCAGAATGTATGGAGTACACAGGAAAAAAAGCAAAGATGGTGTTGAGACACCACTGTGTGTATGCAAGCTGTAATTAATAAATCAGTGAAAAATCTTTCTGACTGTGAAAGTGGTGCACGTTTCATTATCTGGAAAAAAAAAGGCGAATGTAAAAGAAACTGTGAACAAAAGCTGGAATAATTTGCCTAATTATTTTTCCAACTGTATAATCGTGATATGGCCTTTGTTTATGCTAACATAATTCTGTCAATTTAATACTCCTTTTTTCATTACTGAAGAGATCCTTTAGGACAATGTTTGTTTTAGCAGTTATTTCCTGGTTTCCTCTAAAAATGTACGCTAAGCCATTTCTGGTGCTATTTAATACAAATTATGTGCCAATATACATAGCTTTTGAGATTTGCACAATCCTAATTTGACAGTCTGTAAAGAAGTGTTTCTAATGGTTTTAACTTTGTGGATTCTTTTTGCCCCAGAACGTATTTTAAGGTATTTATTTACTGCAGATGATGAAAGATTTTGACATTACTCAGGAGAAGTTTGATTACGTTATTGTATTATTTAATGAATCCACCTTAATCATTTTGTTAAGCTGCATGCAAATTTAAATGTTTGAAAAGCCACAAAATAACAAAAGAATTATATAGATTACCCCTAAATGAAAATTTTTGGGATACTGTATATAAGCAACGCTGTGTTGTACCTGCTGTTCCTATATGTAATAATTAGATTTTGTACTCAAAACCCTAAAAAATAGTTCTTATAATTCACTGGACAGTAGGCAGGGATGGAAAGTTTAAAACTGTAATAACACTTTTCTAATATGATTGAAAATTTTTGTAATTAGTGCCGGTAAAAATGCTGCTTTTTAAAGTGTTTCAATTTTAGCAAACTTTAAAAAAAATAAATAAATGCCTGAAAAAATACTTGCCTTATTTTAAATAAAGGCTTTAATGTTTGGGAATTTTCTCACAGCTGCCGTTTTGAAGTCAGGTACCTTTTCTAAATGTTCAGTATTTCCATTTAGACGCTGGCTTTATGAATAGCGAATATAGGGCAGTAATTGAGAAGCCCTGTAGAATTTTCCTGGTTTTCAGACGTAGAAAATCCCCCTTAGGTTGTTCAGAGACTATATTAGGCTGCACAAAAACCATCCAGCGTCCTTGTCAGAAAAAATCAGCTTGACTTGCAGCTGACAGAATGCAGAGCTTGCAGTGCACCTAGCGCTGCTAAAAACATCTGAGCAGCTCCAGAAGCCTCCTGCAGGAGGAAAATTTATTTCTTCTGGGGGCGGCACGGGGGTTAAAAATTATTAAAAAGCATCACCTGAACCGGGATTTCCCCAGAAACTTTCTTTTTTTTTTTTCAGGTGGTTTTTGGGGCAGGAAAAGAAGGAGTTCTCATTAGAGCTTCAGTGGTTATCAGTAACCCATAAGCCTTGTTTTGCTGGCTGCTTACTGGTGCATTTAATAAAATAAAGATCACTCCGTGGTGCCGTGGGCAGCATGCAAGGTGATAGCCATATTTGCTTACTGTAAATACGAGGGGAAATCACACACAAACGGGCTGTAGTTTTGACAAGTATTAAGATGGCTCTTTACATCTGTACTCCTGTACCAAAGTGCAATTAGTTTTCCTCGCACAAGGATTTCTGTTTATCTTATTCTGCTTGATTACTTGAGCATAATCGCGCCGTTTGCTTCATTGCTCCTGGTAGTAAGCTCCAGTTTAAAAAGGGGAGGATGAGTGTGTGTAAATATACAGAATTCTACTGTAAGACTCTAATTTATGCATCTGGATGACAGCGTTTCCTTAATTTTTTTTTTTCCCTTCTCCCCCTCCTTTACTCTTTCTTTCCACAAGGTTTGGTTCATGTACATCAGATTCCTCGGCTCAATAGCTTGATCTGTGATGTGTCAGACACCAAGGACCTTGCTTTTAGATTAAAAAGGAAGCAGTTCACCATCGAGGTAAGAGAAACGTTGTTTCACTGTTTAGAACCCAAAAGGTGGAGCTAATCCCATCTCTTATGTTTCGTTTTGTTGAAATGCATAAAATATGCATCAGATGATGTCAATTCATTTCGTTCTGGCTTTGCTGTTGGGAAGGGGTTTATAAAATACTGTAATATGCCTCCTAATTAAAAATGGCTCGTTTGCTGCACTGAATCGGTCTGCTATAAATACTTTATTTTGGTTTAAAATGTACATAGAAAGTAGGCCACAACCTTCAATAACAAAGCATGACATGTTTCTAAGGATGTCAGGAGCATATTTAATTAAATGTTAATGACTTGCTCTTACTTGTGTTAGTGGGTGGGAAAGTAGCTACATGTTATTACCCCAGTAGAGGGATTTTAATGTATAATGTTGGCTAAAATTGTGTGTGGTATGGGGGATAAGTGTCCTTATCAGTATTCAGAAACCATTTTCTTTGCATTACTGAAATCACCTTTCGCTCTTTTATGTCATTTTAAACACAGTATCATTTACACTAATGTCCTTAAGTAAATTTCCTACTAAATTTAAACTTTTTTCTGTGACCTTTATGCAGGCAGTCCTGATAGAAGGCAGTTATACAAAAGATGTATTTCATTTTAATCTTGCTAAAGAGCAAATGAACATAGCACTATTAAGCAATTAGAGCTGATGTATTTATTAACCAAGTAATGCTTAGAGATGGAAGATGGCTTTCAGGGTGATGCAATAGTCATCGGTACAGTCTGGGCAATTTTTTTTTTTTTTTTTTAACAAAGACATAAAACAGCCAAGCATCCCTGACAAACCATTTTGTTTAATCTCTTTTCAAATGAAAAGCTCTTAAGCAGGCCACTTGTCTTAACTGCTTGAAACCATAAAAAGGGAGAATTGCCACCAATAAATTAGCATATTTTTTACTCCATCACCAAATGCTGGTCAATGTGGCTTGGCACTGCTTTGGTGTTTGGGACTTCACCCTTAAGTGACCACTTTGGCCCTTATTTGACCCTCTGCCCTTTTTAGCTGGCCACTTGATAAGGTAACTTAAGGGTTCTCTCTCTTCACTGCCCCCTCCCCTTCACAATTGCAAGTAGCCCTAACCTATAAATCATTGAAAGGGCCCTATCAAGTGACAAATTAAGGTGCCCTCCTCCTAATTAATGGTCATCAATGTCTTTAATTATCTAATCCTATTGAGAGGTAGTTAATAGTTAATCGGGCAGCCAGTTCTTCATGCAGGTCATCTCTGCGTGAGTGCTAGAAGTTTCTCAACTAGAGGTATCCTCTTCAGAAGCCACTTAAAGGCAAGCACATGGAGGAGGGCTTTTCTCCCCAAGACAATTCCTTTATAAGGTTTGTCACTTTCCAGAGAATGCAGCGAGTGAAACCAGGCATTGTGAGGTATGAAAGCATTTGAACAACTGCTTTTGAGCAGTACAGTAGAAACAAAACCCTTGGTAGTCTGTGTTTGGTTTTAAAATACAAATGTTCTCTCTGTTATCAGAGGTGTAGAGAGGTGTGCACCCTCATTTCACAGCATAGTAAATTCTCGTTTGCTATAGCTGTGAATTAGGATATTTGGGTGGTTTCTCATCCCTGAATCCTGTCTCGGAATACAATTTTCTCTTCCAGACGCATTTGAGATTCTAATCTGTAATGTAATTTGGAAGGAGAGAAAACCCTTAGCAGGAGGCTCTGTAAAAAGAATTGAATTAGCCATGGGACATTGGAAGCAGGAGTGAAGTGCAACTCTTGAAACAACCTGTTGCCTCACACATGCGTAGATGACCCACTTGTATAATTTCTGCCTTCGCTGCTCAGCTGCAGCCCCTTTTGAATAACTTCAGGTTTTGTTAGAGATATGCTTTCTGTAAGCTGAACTGACACAAACTCTCCCTTTTTGAACATGTTAGATCACTGTCCTACTGTGATCTTCCTGTACAAGTTTCACTAATCTATAATACATATGTTTTTCTTCCTCATACTGTTAGGGAAAGCAGAGAGGCTGGCTGGAGTAAGAAAATGGGAGCAAGGGAAAACTGAATTAGGAAAGGATGTGAATAAGGTCTTCTGAAATGGGTTTCTGCAGTTAGAATGTGATGTGTCAGCAGTCAGTCAGCGCTGGTTCTGGGGGCAGAAGCAAAAAGCAGCACAACAGTGTGCATTGCAAGCATTGTATATGCCTTATACACAATGCAATCAGCTAGGACTTCTTCAGTATGTAGCTTAAATATGAAATGAAAATGTATCTAGAGTACCTTAGAGTTTTTGGAAAGATTCTACATACTTATATGCACAATTTAGGATAAAAATATTGTCCTCTACTTTGAATGCTGCTTTAAAATCAAATTGCATAAGAAAAGCTAGAAACACAGAACCTGTGAATTATGGTGAAATTTCTTCCAAAAGTGTTTTCTTCACCAGACCGTTCTTTTTTTTATAGTTTAAATAATAGCATGGGACATGGATTTACTCATCTCTGGATTGCTCACCAGTTAAATAACTCCTTATAGTTTGGCCCTCACAGGTGGAAAGCCTTGAATGTCAAATCTATTTTATTAGATTGCACTTTTGTGGGAGGAACTCCACCTCTTTATAGCCTGTGGAATCTTTTAACTGTTTCAGTTTTCCTTGTGTCTTCTTCATCAAAATAAGATCAACTGAGATGTTTTCCAAAGAGATTTTATTTTAAAATTCGGGATGAAAATGGATTTTTAATGAATATTTATGAGTGCTCATTGTCCATTTATAAATTATGAAGAGGAACCTTCCAGGAAAACTTCCATGCTTATCTAAAAGGTGCAGTAGCTATTTCAAGCTTTCCCAAATCTTCACACATTAGTTACTAGCAATATTCTCTTATGTGCAGTATTATCAGAGATCTATCTTATGTGCATGCCACTTTAAAGGACACAATTTTGAAGTTAGCCTGTCTAATCCTATTTCTTCCCACTTTGGAATCTTAATTAGAAGGAGATAAAAACCATCATTTGACTAAATTATTGTCTCGAATCTGTAGCAAAAGGTATAATCCGCAATTGGGCCAATTAGTGTACCCCATAGTTAGCTATGCTGAGGCAGGAAACTTGATTAGATCTGACACCAGCCTAGTTCCCACTGTTGTTTTGCCAGGTATGATGGTCAGACTTCAAAGGGCTTGAGGCATCAGCAGGGCAAGGTTTGGAGGCCAGCTTAGGTCCGGTCGTTAATCTCCCTGCTAAAACCACAGCAGCCCTCGCACAAAACAAGCTTACACGACACAATCATGCGGTATTAAAGTTTGGGTTGAGTCATGCCAATTTGCCTTTGATTTTCTGATGATTGACTAAAAGATGGCTACATGACTAGACACATACTGAACGTTTACTGATTAGGTAAGTTCCCCAAATATTTGAAATATTTTTTGATTTCTCAGTTAAATGATATGACAACCCGTTTGTCTTAATGCGGCCGTTCAGCGGAGATGTTCTTGAAGTGCTTTTTTGCTTGCTTTGTAGCTCTGAGTGTAACTTTTATCAACATTGGAGAAATTTTGTAGGAACATTGCATTCATATTTTTATTTGACAGAACTTTATCTGTGTTGTTCCAAAGACTCCTGTGTCAAGACTTAAAAAATTTCTGCTTAAATTTGGTTTTTTCGCTGCCCCAAATTTCTGTGAGAAGGTTGTTTATCTTTGTTATTTGGGTAGATTTATAATTACTCTCCAAAAGGACATTTTCCTTTAATTATTTTCCACCTCGCCATCGAGTAAAGCGCTGCTCCACGGCTGTGATTACATAAGTGTTCCTTTCTTTTGCAGTCTGATTTGTTCAAATATTGCAGTAACAGTGACATGTTTCCATTCTGAGAAAAGCCTAAGGCTGCTTTAGTATTATTCCAAATGATTGAAATTGCCATCTTGCTGACTTTCCCTTGGGCAGCTTAGGGCCTGTTTACTTTTGTATTTGTTTCACATGTTCCCTCTGAGTTTGGCTGGCAGGACATCATTACCTGGTTTGACAAGACAGTTGGAGAAGATTCATATTTGATTAACTCCCTTTGTTATTGTCTGGACAACACAGGCCTCTGAAATTATCTAGTTAAAGTTAAAACCCCTGATACATTCAGATAAGTGCTTGCAAATAGCAAAGTTTGTGAGGGTGTTTTTTTTAATTCCCTAGTTTTGCTTAATTTATAAGTCTTCAAGTTACTGTCAGTTATTAGGAGTATAGAGATGAAGCTTTTTTTCCTAGAAGTTTTTATCTTATAGTTTGTCTAATAAATAGTTGTTGTGCAAATACATTTTTTTGATCAAAACTCAAGTCACAGCAGCCAATATTTTCTTTTAAATGGCTACACCCACCTGTGCAGCCCACAATAAATTCTTTAGAAGCCAGCTCAGTTTGAAGCCAAATGTCATATATGATTTAAAGAATAGCCATGCAGCAAAAAACAAGTTTCCAGAGCTTAATGTACAGATTCAGGATCTTTTCTGAGAGGTGTTTCCTAAGAGGAGAGGGGAAGAAATCAGAGGAGTCCTGTGGCTGGTTTCTCAGAGCAGGGCAGATGCAGTATGGCACTGTGGAGCACTCTGTATTTCATTTTCCCCATGCTAATTGCCAGAGTAAAAGGTTAAGTCTTTGGAAGGAAACATAACCACCAAAACCAGCAACTGAGCCTATACAAAATTAAAAGTAAACAAATTATTCCAAAGGCATTTGAATAATGAATGTCCTGTCTTCATCTGGCAGTAAAAGACTGTGAGAAAATAATGATGGCCAAAATAAGAAGTAATTGCAACTCCAGGTATTGCTTGTGTCTGGTGTGTTTCCAACACTGGTATTTGGAAGATGACTTCAAACTCTTTGAGGTGGTGATTTTGGCCATTTAAAACAGGAACTGTGGCTTAGGTAGCCTCCATCTGAAATCTCTGCATTTCTGACTTTTTTTGTCTTCCTTTCAGTGTCTCTCTTTTCATTGATAGTCTTAGACAGACTACAATGTGATCAA